AAAAACATAATTACTACATGCTATTTTCAAAAATAGCAAGTTGTAAAATCGAAACATTTTTCACAATAATTTATTAGTCAGGTAGTTCGACTAGGTCAGATGTCACATTTTCACTAAGATCAAATGGATGTAGAGGCCAAATTCCATTGTGTATGGGAATTATTTCTATCTTTCAGCAACTCCTGTAAAACATACTCCTTCAGATCTTCAACCTTTCTTATACTCGCATTTTAGTTTTGAAATAATTGTACCTTTGAGTTGTGTCACTTACAGCTCTAAAACGTTAAACTTCTGACGCTTAAAAAATTCTACGTCTAAAACTCCACACATCTAGATCAGAATGTAAGAATATATTTGAAATATTGAACCTTTTGAAGGAGTTAAATGATAGAAGTGTTGGAGAATCTTTGATGATAGAAGTGCTGGACTTCTTTGTCTAAACTAATGATAGTTTAATATTTTGCTGTCAATTGTGGATTGACGTTTGAAATTTCATGAAAATCAGGATGTGGGCCAGTAGCTGAACCCATTTTGCAATCAAAAAATGACTTCAATATTATTCTTTCTGTTATTTAGTGGTGACATGACAAATGTAAGAGATCGTTTTGCAATAATTGTCGTAGCAAATCAGAGTTCTCTCTCAAACGACCAGTATTGACAGCATTAATGTCAAAATACATTAATTACATTTTTTTCAATAGCCTTCCATTTTTCATTACAGAAAAAATTAACTTTGGTTTGATTAAATCCCTTGTTCTCCAACTGAGGGCCTCCCATCAACTGCTTTTCATCACCAAAAAGTATGTAAACTGCCAATATCTCCCTGTATTCTGCATTCAATATACGTACGAAATAGTTGTGATTGATCCTAATGTACAACATTACATTGTAAGCCAAAATTTCATATATATTTTTGATAACCTCTACTCTCTTCTTTCGAAATTTAAATTTATTTAGTTAAAAAAAAATAAATACCAAATATCCACGTCCGGCAAACGAACAAATTTATTTCATCAGTACATTTGTTGATCAAGATGCAAGGATGATAATTGAAGACACACATTCTCAATATAAATTAATAAAAGAAGACTTTCTAGAGCAAATAGTTTCCAATTTATTGAGAAAGATTCGATTTATTTTCAAATTTCAATTTTTTTACACTTAAGCACTGATAAGGCAGTTCTCATAACCACCCGATCGAGATGAAACATGACAATACCATTTTCACACGAATTGGCAACTTTTTTAGGGGTTCCATCAAAGATATTTCGGAAGTCGATTTCTCCCAACCAACCTAATGCGTACGTTACATACTGTGAGCGTTGACCGAAAGGAGTTTAGTGTAAGACAGAATGCTGAGTGTATTTCTGTGTATTTGCATTCCGGCTTAAGAACCCTTTCGCCAGATGGGAGTAGGCAACAAATGAAAATCTCAAAACAGAAGCGAAGGTACAAATACATCCTCAAACTTTTCGCTGCAGATGTATTCAAATATCACAATAAAATATTTACTTAACATTCGTCATTAAAGAGATGGAATATAGAGCTACATCGATAAAACATTCGTTATCAAAACATCATTCGAACTATCAAACATTATTTGCAATACTGCTAAACTAAATCAATATTGTGCTGCTGATCCAGAGCTGGCATATATGTTAAATTCTAATTTAAAATCAACTGCAGTTAAATGCAACTGTATAAAAGTGTTCTCTCCAGATAGGGGAAAGTTATATGATGGGACCATTGTGGTGCATACACAGTGTTTATTAAACGGTAATTTCCAATTTTAGAGGAGTCTATTCAATTTATATGTGCTGTTCCAACTGAAAGGAATCGTTTTAGATTTTATCGGAGTCGCTTTACAATACTCCAGCGATATCAACTTCATTTAGTAAAAACAATGAAATAACGATATGGGCCACTGTGTGTGAATGTTGTGAAATAACGGCACAAAGCGATATCGGTGATTCTCTCTCTTCATCTGCGGCAGGCAATAAAAAGGTCTGATGAGGTGCGAGGGAAAAGTGCATCTGCCATTTAAATTATTTTCGAATTTCTGGAGAACTGCAAGGACGGAAATTATAAGTGGAATCTATCAAGAAAGCAGAAGAGGTGCTGTTCCACCCACGAGCATTCAGAAAGAAAACGTTCAACTTCTCACGATAATACTTTTCATATTATCGATGAAGGTTTCTGTGACAAATATTGGGATTGACTAATATTTAACTTTCATGACCCATGAGATTCTCTACTTCAGTTTAAATTCAAAGTAAAAAATATTAACGTGTCCACCCACAAAATATATTTTATTCTGACTATAGACAACAACTGTTAAAACAAAAAAGACAAAAATGTTCAATGGAAGAAACCAAATATTTAGACAATAAGTAAAAGTGTTTCTCGCAGAGCATTCATAGTGTACTAAAAGTTTAACTTTTAGATCTACTGCTACAAGTGACCAGATTTTATAAATGCAACAAAATTTCGTCTGACCACATCAGCTTCTACTGGACTTAAGTGTTTTGTATTCTTGAATTAAAATAAAATCAACGTCAGCAAGGCTGTCTAAAATGTGGTGTAAAAGACACGTGGTAAAAGCTATTTTCTTTTGCTCGTGGGATTGCCCCACTCCAACTGTTGTCCTCGTGTCGCAACCTTTCCTTCGAGCGAAATAAAATGTCACTATTACAACTAGCAGCAGAAAAAGCTATTGTATTATCACCATATTGTATTATTAACCGCATACATTAGTATTAATAAGAAGAAATATGTTAATAAAACGCTCAAAAATAAGATAAATTTCGCGGAAGCAACAAAAAAAAATACTCTACGAACTTCTGCTCCGTTATTTTAGAAATGCAGCTATTCAGGGGTGGATTTCCATTCTCACGTACGAGTATACTGAGAATCTTTCTAGGTGCCCCTTACCTCTTCCAACTTGGCGCTCAGAGGATTGGCAACAATTTGGCTACTGGGTGTTCTATTTTCGCATACGAATCCAAGTCTTTTAAAACCACACTCTCCAGCTGCAGTAGGGCAATGCATAACGTGAAACGAAAGTAAATTGATAACAATCCTCGTCCACAGCAAATATCACTTTCAGGTAATAAAGAGCTTGTTTTGGACCACATAACAACTATTCATACATTTTAAAAATGGAATTAGCACTGGCAACGCGCCTTCTGCGGTGAGTTTTCAAAATATGGGGCAATGAAACTGTAGCAGTAGTATACGACCTTAGTAGAGACGAATTAATGTAATAAAGAGCACATATTGAAAGTAGTAAAGAATAAAAAAAAGCATCAATCGTGAGCTTTTAACGAAATAGGTGTTGGTAAGAATCTCATTCCAATTGAGATTGAAGGATTATCAAAAGATGTTACGATACGAATTGAGATTGAAGGATTATCAAAAGATGTTACGATACGAATATCGTACGTTTAATCCGCTTTGTAAAAATTGTAAGCACAATAATTGTGTATTAAATTTGACTATCCATACCGCAAATTGTGACACACTGATGATAATATCAGTTCATAGGAGGATGTGGATTATCAGAGCACATGTGTTGTAATTATGAAAGTGATGTCAGTTTCGTAAAATCTGACTCTAGATAATAAAAAAGAGATAAACCCGTCTTTAAATAAACCTAAACGGAGATTGAACAACGAACACTCGCGTAGCATCAGTAAGCTCCTGCTTGAACCTCCTCCCGGGGGCACCGTTCGCACGCCCGCCCTACTTCCCCCTCCTCCCCTCCTCGCCCGGGGACGCGGCGCCCGACGGCCCTCGTCGCCACAAAAACGGGGTTTGGGCGCGACCGGAGGCAAATTGGCGTGTTATTGAGTTGCCGCATTTGGTCGCTAATGGAGATAATGAAACGCGATCCGGCGCCGGGGTGGGTGCCGGGGCGGGGCGGTGGCGGGGAGGGGCGGGGCGGGGCTGGGCCGGGGCGGGGCGGGCTGGGCGGGGCTGGGCGGGGCGGGGCGGGGGCGGGGGCGTGCCGGAGCTGGGAGGGAGCCGGAGAGGGGGGTGCGGGCGGGCGGCAGCGGGGGACCGCAGGACTGGCGAAGATGAGGCGCGGCGTGCGTTGGCAGGTAGTTAGGCGGCGGCGCGGGTGACGGATGAGGCGTCGCATCGCGTAGCGGCGGCGATGACGCCTGCCGCGCCCCCACTCCTGGCCGCCGACCGCTGTTTGTTTGCAGACGGAGCACGGCGCGGGGGCGGGGCGGGCGGGGCGGGGCGGGGGGGCCGCTGACGGACATATTAATGCGTTGGCGGCGAAGACGGCGGCTGGCGTAGCACGGTGGAACGCTTAACGCAACAGGAAAAATCGCGTAATGGGACGCGACGCGTTTCACTACAAACTCACCCCAAAGGAAATGCTTTCCTAAGTCGAATTGGCTGCTGTCTGCGGAAGAATTCTAGGGCGAGCCTTCTCTGCTCCACTTTCTATGAGGTTCTCCCATCAAAACCAGATGAATACCGCAGTACTACCCCAACAAGACCTCCACTGATATCGCAGAATCTTCCCTTCGTGATCTTTGTCCTTTCCTCTTCTTTACTACCTAGACTTACAGTTAGAAGCAGTACACTATCGTACAAGTTCGGAGCTTATAACTTGTTCTAGCTGGGGCGGTGTACCACTGGTAGAGATACAGGGAAGGAAACCACAGGAGGCGGGATGTAGGTCAGCGCCGGAACTCACGTTCCAACGACGAACACCTCCCCCTCTCTAGATATAACATGGACTACGCTTACAACTGGCGCATTGCAGAATGTGCATTACAGTTGGAGCGCCAGAAACACAAAATAATTAATCTATGTTTTCAAACGCGTGGGAATTCGTTGTATCTAAGGAGTGTTGGGTTCAGCCTCCAGGCGACTTTCTGCCACATCGTGCTCCAGATCCGATTATAACGATTTCGAAGGAAACCACATACTGAACACTTATCGAAGTTTTCAACAACCACTTTTGAACTCTAATGTAGTACACGTCAGGAGGAACATAGAGTATCAATACAGTTCGAAACAATGTTGGCATTGGTGCAGGTGGTTAGGAGATCCAGAATTGCCCCTCCTCCAACCTACGCACGCCCAAAGAAATATCATGAAAACGTGTCGCATGTTCACAGCAGATATCCGCAAACAATTGCATTGGCCAAAATATAAATGAGCATATCGACATGTTCTGCTGGATGTGCCTATGATTACTGACTTATAATTCCTATTACAAACATATCTGTCTCGAATTATATGCAGATTCATGACTGTGTTGCTATTTGAATTTGAGTTACGTTGTTTTCACAATAGAAACATATCCGTTTTACCAAATTGGCATTTATATTTGCTACTGTAACATTTACACAGCGACGTTAAAGTGAAAAATGAGTGGAATGTGACACAACAGCCATTACATAGAATACACTCTCATTGCGAAAGCACTCTAGATAAAATTCAGTTCAGAATATAGGATTTATAGAGGGAAGCAACGAACAGACGTAGGGCCGTGTTCCAGCATCGCTCTCGACGCCCCGTGGCCGCGTTCGAGGAGCAGGATCATGCCTCATGGGTGCCCGAGCACCACTTTCGAAAGAATGAAATAACTTTTTTATAATAACAAAAAATATGGCAATAATTTGATCATTATATGCTATCTATTAATAATATTAAAAACATCATGCACTGTATAAATAAATATTGAGCAAGCATATAAAAGATTGTACAAGTACGAAAAATAATCAACTACTCTGCAAAGTTAATATGTTACAAAAACCTCAAACATTTACTAATTAATCGATCATAGTTACCAATCAAAGACTTTTTAAAAATTTTAAAAATGTTTGGCTCTAAATGGAATTTAAAAAATTCCAAAACATTTATCTTTAGAATTTGTATAAAATATTTTCATTTCTTGTGTATTAAGGGATATGAGCGCCAAGGCCCCCCTCTCCCTCACACATGTGTCGGGCGAGAAAAAAGTCTGGAGGAACGGCATACGTAAGAATGCTCTTAGTGACTGGGGAGGACAAACATTGTAACAAAAGCTTTAAAAAACGCCACCCGCACGTACATCAAATCTAAAATCACGCAAGGACAGGCGATCAAGAAAAATGCTTATGGGTGATTATGAAAGCAATGAAATTTAAAAAATTACCCAGGGTAATCAGCAAAAAGGCGAGTATTATTATTATTATTATTATTATTATTATTATTATTATTATTATTATTATTGGGCAACTAAGATCCCATTAAAGCCACGGGCCTTCCACCTTTTGCAGCGAATGCTAAATGAAGAGACAGGGTGATGAAGAGGGACGAAGTTTTACTCTTTAATGATATTTTTAAAGTCGTATTTTAGTTCTACCCTTAAGGGACCGAAACATTAAGGGTAACCGTTAGGGGTTAAAATACAATCTTTGTAGAGGGGCACTCCTGAAATACCAACGCACGTCCACATTCGTCCATAATATTACATAAAGCTGAATTTTCACGACTGATTTACTTTCTTCTAAAATCGTTACTAAAAATAATGTTGTAAGAATTGATACTTGTCATCTTGAAAAGGAGATGAGAAAAAAGGCATGTGAGTTAAGGCATCGAACGAATGTAAACCGCCACGTCATAAACACGGAATTCTAAAGAGCTCGCGTTGTTGTTTTTTTCACCACTCTTGTATTTAAGCTGTCAAGACAACATTTTAATTCATGAATTACGCATGTAAATATTTTTTCTTCAGACGGCAGTTTTGAGAAATACTTTTCTCACATTCCAGCTATTGAAATACATTGATATTATGCGGACGTTTTCCAGCTGGCGTAAAGAAAAACAATATAGGACGTCCAACAGCCCCCGCACGGATGTGGAATGTAAGCGAATCATTTCCACGCGTGACTCCACGACCACGCCCCCTGCCCGCACCCATTCGCTGTGGAGGCAGCGAGAGGCGAAAAGGTGCTACCAACGCTTCGCGAACAATCTAGTAGCGTAGGGCGATGCAGAAGGAAGAAGCGAGAACTCACCTTCTTGAGGTCGCGGCCGGGCTCTCCGTCTTCGGCCTTCCGCTTCTCGCCCGCGCCCAGCACGCGGCCGTCGGCGCCTGCGCCCTTCTCCTTGTCGGCGCCAGCCTGCTGCTGCAACACACCAACCCCTCTTCCGTTGACTCAATTCAGATACAAATAAAAATGCACCTTTATGCGATATTACCTCATTCTTTTATACAAATAATATTAATAATAATAATAATAATAATAATAATAATAATAATAATAATAATAATAATAATAACAAGAACCTATAGAAACAAATCCAAACTCTCCACCACCTGATGAAACTAAAATCAGCAAACACATCAACACGCTTGAAAACGACAAAGCATCTGGAGAAGATGGAGTAGTAGCAGAAATAATTAAAGCAGCAGGACTAACCACCATAAAATAAATCGCTAAAGTTATGCAAGGTTTTGGCAATCAGAAAAAAAACACAAGAATGGAAAAGTGCACTAATTCATCCATTACATAAAAAACGAAATAGAACAGACGTCAATAAAGGAATTTCATTATTATCAGTTCCCTATAATATCTTATCCCTACGTCTTTTTGATAGAGCACAACAACAATTAGAACCAACAATTGAAGAATACTAAGCAGGCTTCAGACCAGGTTGATCATGTCCAAAACACATCTTATATATGAAACTTATTCTAAGGCATCAGCGAATTGGCAACAGAAATCTAGTGTACACATTTGATTTCAAAAACGAACATGATTAAGTTGATCGGGAATCATTATTCCAAATATTTAGAAAATAAGGAATATATTTGAAAACTTTTACACTGATAAAAAAAACTGGCAAACCCAAAGGCCATAGTTAAATTTATAGGATGTATTTCTAAGCCCTTTAATATCAAAACAGGGATAAGGCAACGCAACGGACTCTCACCTCTACTATTTAATTGCATTCTTGAGAAAGTTATAACACGATGGCGTAAACAAAAACTTATCCTCAAACTCGCACAAACAATCACATAGGGGACATGAAAATAGCGATAGACTGTTTAGCATTTGCAAGCGATTTAGTAATCCTGACAGGTGATATTGAAACAGCACAAAAACAGATGGAATTCCTTAAAGAACCGGCGGAGAGTTGGCTTTCAGATATCAATTGCAAAAACGAAATTTATTACTTGTAACAAAGACACACTGAGTACTTTACGTAGTCCTAATTGGACAAATTTGCAATAATAATAATAACCATAATAAAATTAATAATAATCATCTAAATTCATCGATTAATAAAATCATCGATGTTTCGAAAACATGGATATCGATTCCGTACTGCTAATCGATTGTCATTTCTTCCGCTACGAACAATGTTCTCCTTTTTACTAGTAAACGAAATTCTGCCTAGAATGTAGAATTTCCTCCTCCTGTTCACGCCCTATTCCCTGGCTCACATTTAAGTAAAAGACAGTGCCATCTACAAGCATTGAAAATAATGACATTGGATTTTGGAAGGGGGGCTCAACGTTAAATTCGAGTTAAGAAAATCAATGTTAAAAACATCCTCTTCGATATATCGATGTTTTTAGGAAAACGTAAATGTTTGGAAACGGACGCCATCGATGTCCCGCCCGTCTCCGCAACGCACTCACAACTTGTTCCGCGGCGAACGCGGGCTCCGTGTAGCAGGGAAGGTCCGCCAGCACCGCCTTGTCCTCGCACAGCACCTCGCGCACGACCGCGGGCCAACGGTCGCCCATCGCCCCGGCGCGCCGACTGAGCACGAGGGGCGCGGCGCGGCGCGGCAGAGGGGCGGGCACAAGCCACCCGGAAGAACCTGTTTCCCCACTCCCTTGGAGGAAATGGCACAAGAGGGCGGCAAGCTTTTTTCAGATTACATTACAAATGACATCGACTATCGTAACGAATTCATACGAAGCCTAGTTTTCCCCTTCTCATGTACGTTTAAGTGCATGCAGAAGAAAAATAAACGACGATATTTCAATAATAGGTTCCAAAAAATGAAAGTCTGTACTAACACTTTTTTCTTTGTGAATGGTATTGCATTCTTTAGGAATTAGAAGGGCGCGAATTCATAACTTTATATACTAATCGAGTACCCTACGTCCGTCATAAGGCACTCCGTCTGTCCACTTTCCATCCCCCGTGCACCACTCGAGACGAATGAGGTGTCGCTTGACGCGTCTCATTCCGCCGAGGATTTGTTTGTGGGTCCATTTACAAGGTTCTCAAACATTTCTACAAAAAGTGTGGTTTTTGTTTAGTTTTTTAAGCAACTGAAACGCCTTGAGGCTGACTTATGGCTTCTACAGTGATTATCAATAGCTAATTTTATTCTTCTCACCGAGGAAAAAGGTTGGCATTGTTTTTATTAAGATATTTCAGTACTTTCTGGGAAAACGTGCACAAAATGAAGTTCTTTTAGGAATTGCAAGACACATACAGCAGTGAAACATTGTGAAATAATAAAACTAACTGCCTTTCCAATATAACGTGAATATTTGGTTATGATTCATAAGATTCACAATGCTTAAAATTAATTATGTAAGAAAACATTTTCCTTTGAGGAAACAGGACTTCTGTCATTGAATTACTTATATTGAACTAGTGGTGCTATAGAATGGCACAGACTTTCCCGTGTTAGTTTTCTATTTCCTTTGGTCTCGGCGAGCGATACGGATTTGCCACATTTTCTTGCCAGCTGCCATCTATCACCGCCCAAGTATGTATTTTAAAAACGTTCCTAATTTTTTTTAATAATAGAACGGATATATTATTTTATGAATATTAAAGAACAGAACCTAGCCATATATAGCAATTTTATTTGAAACATGTTTAAAGGAAATGACGCCTATGCGCTATTGTAAATTCGAAATTTGAAATTTCCTTTTTTACACAAATTTTTAGAGTTTTCAAAAAACTTAATTCGAAGTAATTTGAAACACTTTAACTCACCAATATAATAATCGTTACAAATTGCTGGAAATGTGCAGAATAAGGGCGTGAGAGATCTTTCAAAAAAACTTTTTTGTGTGTAATTTTTGAATAAAGCAACAACAAAAACACTCCGAAATTAACTTTACGTCATATTAGAGAGTGCAAATATCACTAACCGTCCCAAAAGCTTGAAGAAAACATTTGGGGCTGTATTCGAGAAAATGGTGTTTGGACGTTTCTGAAAACGTTGGAAACCTGCAAGCGAACACCTACGCAATAAAAGTCGGTTCGCCAGCAGCGAAAGATTAAACAGTTCCTGTTGCGCGTATTTGCGAGAAGACAAAATAGAAACTGAGCTGTGCAACGCGGCTAAGTAATAAGAGGCCTAATGAAGGTCTAAAACCAGGATGAATATTACACAATTTTGATTTTGAGGTTATTAATTGAGAAAATGATTAAAATAAAGCCACAAATGAATAACAAAAATAATAGAAATATATTACTAGTATAGTAAAACAATTGTACATATCATTACTCCTTTTTATTTTTCGATACTAATTTTAGGATTCATTTTGTCAGGACATCTGGATCTGGTGTCTGGGAAATATTAACCATACAGACTATCAGTGCTACAAAGGAGAAAGAAATATCTCCAATGTAACAAGAAGACTGGCCGGGGTGGGTGGGTGGGTGGGTGGGGGGTCGAGAGAACTGCCTGCCGACGCAGCAGAGCACAACGGGCATTCCTCGCGGCGCGTGCTGCCTTCCCTAACAACATCAACGCACCGAATTATCTCAAGACCTTGCTATTGTGACTGACATTCTTCTGGAAAACTATTAGCACATAAATAGTATTCAGAAACAATTTTCCAAGAGACCTGCGACTATGCGTCATCTTGAGAATATAAACACGCCATGCTTAAAAACGTGTCAGTAAAAGGAGTTTGGTACTCCTGCATGAAATGAAACTCACGATACTGGACATAATTTAATCTCGTCTTTCCTATTTATTTTGAAAAATATAGGCGTTAAATGGAAACTACAGAACAAATAGAAGCCGTTGAGCATTGAACGATTTTAGAATTGGTCATTTTGCAGATAAATCGCGTTACTTGAATACAAACATAAATGTTTATCGCTTACTTCATCTACTGAAATACCAGGGTTGTCGTGACTTATTCCCCTTTATTCGTGCTCCACGAATTTAAAGGAATTTGTAACGGTCAACGTCCGACATGCAAAGCAACTGACCTTATCAAGAGTCGAAGGCTGTAGTTTCATTTGTGAAATTTCACCAATTCTACACGACAGTCAATTTTCTCACTAAACGGTCATAAGAAGCAAGAAGAGCGAAATCAGGACATAAAAAAATATTAACTAAGTGTGCTCTAATAGTACACACTTTTTCGCATTGTTTTAACGTACAACTATAATGCTAGATAAACCAGCAAAAGTGTTTAAAACTCGAAAAAAAAATATTGGGCAGGGAGACAAACCTGGACACAGTGAATGGAGACATAACCGATTCACCTACAAGACCATCTCCCAATCCATAAGCAAAGTACTGGTAAAAGATTCGCTTTTACATTAAAAAAAGTTTCAAGGAAAATCGGACCTGTTCAATTTTTATAAGCCTACTTTACTGTATGCTTATAAAATGTTTGTATACTTATATAATAAGCAAATATAATTTAAAGAAAAAAATTGAGAAAATTTCGAATATATCTTTAGTCATCGCTTACAGAATCCTCAAGAATTAAAAGATGTTTCAAATTTAAAGGGCTGCGTCATCGTGGTCAAGACATATATATTGACAGGAGAATGTCAAATTTTGTAAAAATGTTTCGCTTCGAGTAGCTTAGTCCACAAATAGACGTTTTGCCGAAGACTGATTTTTCGGTATCAAGGAAACCATAAAACTTGGACTGACTACACGTTTTACAGGAAGCAGATTACTACATTTCGAAACCATAATCATGACTTTTTAGGACAAGGATCCTATAATACGAGGTTTTCTCTAAAAGAAAGAATGAAAGTAAAAAGTGCCCGCACTTTTAACTGCAACATTTCAACGTTTTACTATGTGGCTTTTTTTTTACAACACATTCTATTCGCGAGTAATAAATACTATTAAAAATCCATTGCTAAGGGCCGCGTGGGTCGCATTTAGGCGCACGTTGATTAATCTGATAGTCAGGCCAGCGCTCCATCGCGCGCCATGACAAACGCAAAGGCTATTCAGCGGAGACAGAGGGCGCCCCGCCCGTATCGGCCTTGTTCCAGCATACATCACACGCATGGCGACACGGCAAAGGGAGCTACAATTGTTGAGGCTGCGGATTCACGTCGATGGCTTGATGAATGGCAGGAACAGTTCTAAAATAAATCCTAAAGCCAATTAGGGTGAGTGTGGAGTAATTAAAATCCTCTTTCAATTACATTGAAAATAATCACATCCTAACATCCTCATATCCTAAAAGGTATTTTTAGTTCGATAAACAACCAACAACACGTGATTGACCTGGATGAAACAAGAAACATAACGCTAGCGAGGATTATCCAACCGCGTCTGTATTTCGTATTATCGACCGCATGTCATTCAATATTCTTCGGAATATCGTCTTCTTATAACAAAAATAATTTAAACAGAGTATACCATTTCTTGGAATACGAAACTCATCACCATCTTCAGTTACTGCACATTTAATTCGACTTTTCTTAATGGACCACAGACTGTGAAACCCTTAATAGACTCGGGCCGTTACGAGAGCCTTTGTTCCTCTAATTACTTTATGAAGATATACTTAGTACAGAATTACGAAAAATTATAATAGTTCCCAAAATTAAATGGAAATAACATTGTTTTCAACAGTGCTTTCAATCCGTCTCTGTTTTCACATCAGTTTTGCACTCTGAAAAAAATACACTTTTAACTAAAAACATAATATTAGAATCTCATCAATAAGAATATTTTTATGGAAAGCACTTTCTAATCCAAGCTGATGAAGACAAATTTATCAATAACAATATCCTTTTCCGTTTTATGAAAGCTATTGAAGACATTTAATCCTAAAATATATATTCTTCTGCACTTCCTTGTTCATTTATTCTTTATTTCGGTGAGCTGCGACCGTTCAATGAGTGCTGCGGAGCTGCAGAACAGCTATTCTCTTGAATAAAAGAATAATGTTTCAAAATATAGGATTTTTATTTAATAAATTAATTAACAGTTTAACAATTGCGGCGATAGTCTTTGTATTATCTTAAACAAAACGCCGCCAAAGCTTGAACTACGCCGACAAGACGAACCATAGACTGTCAGGTGGAGAGCATTATTGCAGGATACTGAGAGATCGAAGAGAGTCGCCATTATGACGATTACGTGTGATTACTTGCGAAACGTAATTTCTTATCAAAAGCATAATTTGTTACCTTATTTACAATACAAGAAGTAACTAACATTTTGGAAATAATGGTAATGAAATGAATAAATGTTATGTTTTGAGAAATTTTAAGTAGAAATTGCAATTACAAAATTAAAAATTTGAATCTTTGAGTTTGGTGACGAATGATTGCCTACCTACTAGTACGCAGCGGAGTGAGAAATGGTTTCTGGTGAAAAAAAGAGGAATTCGCTGACTAATCATCAAAAGAAAAGTGAAAAATTACAAAACAAAATTACAAAATAAAGTAGTATAAGGCTGAAGAAAAATTTAACACTCAAAATAAATTAGAATCGTTTAGAGAATGGCCATTCATTATTCACAAATACATAATATTCCAGAGATCCGTGCACGCAAGGAATGAATGTCTTCGAATGTTAATTAGTGTGAATGAGATTTTTATTAATTTATTATTAAAAGGGTAATTGGTTTGTGGTATTGGCTAAAAATGTGTTAAAAAAGTACATTTTTCCGCAAGCTCAGTTTTCCGCTTCCCCTAAAAATTTAATTGAGCTATAGCGCTCCAGATCAAATCTCAGCGCGAGAAAATATTGTTTTTTCGTGAAATTTTTTTCAATAACCGAGCAAAACTCACTAAATTTAACAGCACACTCATTTTAAATTAAACTTCAACATTTTCAAAACAATATTTTTTTTCGAATTTCTTGTGCTTTTTTTGACAAAGAGGTATTAGTACGAAGAAAGTAATACCTTTAGTTTTCTCTTTGCATCAAATTTATTTGTTAAGTAACGTAAAAAATTCGATTCAAAGTTCGTTATTTTCTTACGCACCTGGAATTACTGTTCTTGGCTCAACAGCCCGCTACGAGCATTGGCCGACCAGCGGTGGCCCAGCCCCTCGGCCAGGGGATAAGGGGTTCGTGTGATTAGCACGAAGACATCCCTCCACCGTATAAACTGGTCTTCTTAATCTTAGGGTGGGCTTTCTCATACTGGGAAATTATCTGCAAGGAAGCGCACAGGTATAATTTTGCCCCGGCCGGGAACTGAACCCGAGGATGTGCCGTGGAAAGCGAGCACGCAAACCATCCATGAAATTACTAATATTATAAAATCAATATACAATGCAATTTTGTTTTATTCTAAACACTTAGAGGCGGTTCTCTTTCAAGTTTTTTCTATAAGTGGATGATGTTTTCATGCAAACACATGGTATCTTAATTGAGGTATATACTCTGTAGCAACTGATATCCATTAAAATGTGTTGTTACAAATGTTACGGGAAGAATGCATTCCAATCCTTAAATGAATCACACGCTTTCTCTCATAAAAAAATATTTGGTTCCAAGCAGTTTAGCGTTCCTGTAAAAGTCTGAAAGAGGGGACATAAAACACCGTCATTTGAACTGAAAAGGCGGGGTCCCAAGGAGTGCAGTATGGAAATGTTTCTGTACACGTTTCCGCCCTCCCAATAAGTTGACGAGGCCACCGAACTCTCTACACCATTATGAAGAACGTCCTCCCAAGGTGAAAATTTAATAGCCCTCGAGGGAAACCTATTTTCGAAAAAAACCTCCAATAAAACAATTCCGCCGCGACGTCCGGACGAGGGAGAGAGCTCGCAGGCGCCGGAAACCAATAAATGACGGTAGCGGCGGCGGCGGCGGCGGCGGGGGTGGCAGGCAGACGTTAGTCAGCCCGTGTCCCGCAAGTACGAGCGTAAAATGTAAATACGCCGTCCTTCCCCGGCGCGTGGGAGGGAGCGACGGCCAGCAGGGCGGCGGTGCATGGGCGGCGAAGGATAAGAGACCAAAGCTTCACTGATTGATTGATGGATTGGTTCGTGCTTTCCAGCGTGCCATCTACTTTAGTCATGGGTCCCGTGGGTATAGCAGGTTACTCCCTGGGAGTTGGAGGTGTTCCTCCTTCTGGAACACGACTTTGAGACCCGACCTACAACTCCGTTCGCAGATATTATATAAACGTGTACGCACAGTGAGATAACACAAGGATGATGAAGGAAAAATCGCGCGTTAAACTTGTCCCATTTGTTAGAATATGTCTACGACATTCGACTGGTATTGAGGGGAAAACTACTGATGAGAGCAGCCGACCCCTTAGAATTCCTCTCGACCCAGCTGTGAAGATCGTGTGTAACATCCGCCACCGTGGGCATCGAACATTAAAGAGGCAGTTGTCGCGTGGTTGTGGCGGCGTCGGCGGGTGGGGGTGGGGGGAGCGCAGTAAGGGGTCCTCGCGGAAGGCGCAGCACACGACAAGTACGGCCGCCGAGGAAAGGAGTCGTCAGAGGATAGAAACAGCGCAGTGGATAGCGAGGGCTGTGCGGTGCAGGAGAATGAATGCGGCGGCGGAGGACGAGGAGGCGGGGGCCAGCAAACTCGAGAGTCGCAAAATACCTCTCGCAGCACCGCTGAAAAAAAGAAGAAAAGAGGAGAGAGTACGGGATTCGAACTCCGTCGGAGCGCGGAGTGCGGCCGACGGGCGCGGGCGCGGGCGCGGGCGGAGGCGGGGGGC